CAGCGTATTCATAACTCTTTGGGAACTACATAATGCAAGTAGTTTCAAAGCTAAAGCGATTGAACAGTTGGTGACCTTCCCTCGTCAGTCTAATATCAAATATACTATTATGTGCAGTCATTTTGATAAGTTTCCTTTCTTGGTGAGAACAGTAGATGCTCCTTTTGAACTCCAATAAAATTTGCATCATAACGAGATGCGTATGGATAGAATATGAAACATTCAACTGTCCAAAAAGCCTTTTGCTCGCGTAACTACACTTTTATCTCAGCATCACGGTGTGAGAGCCCTTAGCGTCTTCTACCCTCCCCACAACAGTGGGTAGTCCGGCAACAAAATCGATTTTCAAGATTTGAGCCTATATCATAGCTAGCATTGAAGCTATTATCGTGCTGCATTTAAGTGCATCCTGGACGCTGCTTTTAGTCAGTGTCTGTTAAGCAGCCGATCCCACAAAGTATATAAAATAGGTGCATATCATTAATAGGACCATATAAGTAAAATCTATGTTTTAAATTGAGGATCTAATTATGTTCATTAATTATTATAAAGCTATACAATGTTATGTATTTACTATATATTACAGGCCATTTGGACTTCTTGAAATTCCTTAGGCTATAATAAAAGTAAACACTTAAACTCAGTATAGTAAAAAAAATAAGTACTGATCAATAATGCAGTTATTTCCTCGAATTTTCTCGGAACTTTAATTCAAGTTTTAATTTATTATTTGGTAGGACATGTCATCATCTATTCTCAGTTGATGCGCAAAGATGCGTGTTTAAACTCTTGTTGAGATATAGTGTCTCAAATGTAATCTTCTATCAAAACTTGTTGACAATCTTAATACAGTAATCACTCATGTTCTAGTACGTCAATTTTCGAATAGATAAATAAACAGCAAACCTATACCAACTTCAAGTTTTAGATTGACCATTTCATTTTAAAATCGATTCTTTGACTCTCTCTTAGGAATTAAATACATGAAAAAATCATGCATACGTTCCCTTTTAGGATGTGCATCCACGAACAAAAATCTTTCCCATCTTTACCTTTTTACGATGTCAAACTTTGTATTAAATTTATTACCGAGTAGAGATATGACATGAAAGTTTTATTTCATTTTGGTGTACAGATTACACTAATAAAACTCTTATGTCATATCTTTACTCAGTAATAAATTTGATACAAAGTATGACAGCATAAAAGCATAAAGCAAGAAAAGACTATTGTCCGAGGATATAAAATGATTTGTTTCATACTTTTTTAATTTTTTCGTTCGTAAAAATACAAAGAGTTGCACGATCTTCTAGATTACGCTCGAGACAAATAATGTTAGTAGAAGCGAATAATTTTTGTAGTAAGAATCAGTAAAGATTGCAACATATACTATAAACATCAAGAAATTTAGGTTTTAAACAGAGCTTTAGAAAATATACAATACTCAGAAACTCAGAGTGTGGGTGTGGATGTGGGCCTTGTCTTCGCTCGCACCCAAATCATACACTCACACCCCACGCTTCACATCTGGAGTTTTTGAAACACACTCGAACCCAACAGAATCCGAATTGATTTTAAGAAAACAAATATGAACAGAACCTGAGCTCTTTTTTAGAAAAGAAAGATGAGTCGAACCTAACTCGAACCAGTAAAACTCGGTTCGACTCGATCTCTGCTATCAATACATCCTCTACTCTTTTTGTATTAGATATTACTCTAAACTCATAATAAATGTAAGTAATTCCTGATTATGATTCATATACGTACCCTTTTATTTTGAACAAGAATATTTTTTTTTTCAAGTAAAATTTCATTAGAGTTGAAAGACGCATCCACTCCTCGTCAACTGAATTTCTAAAGATATATAACATGCTAGAAAAACGATAAAAATTTCAAGATAATTATTAAGCTTTCCTTCTTGTCGGTGGGAGGGCAAAGACTTTTGGTGAAAGGACGGCGTCCTCTCTAGCCACCCTCTAGATACGCCACCACTTTCTTATTATCTGAGTACTTTTGAAAACAAATAAAATATTTGTAATCAGCGAACTAAGTACTATTGAACTATAAAGACTTGTAATAGAACAGCGACAAAAATTTTTTTTCAATACCTGAGGGGGACCCTAAGTGTGAAAAATTGGGTTGTGATAAAGTCGAAAATAAAATTATGAAAAATAGTCAGGGTTCAATGCTGATTCTCAAGGTAATAAAATTAGGTTCAGCTTTTTCGAGGCCCTCGGTCCATAATTCGAGTCAACTTTTGACGTATTGAAATGTAATTAATGCGTGATAATGAACTAATAAATCAATAATAAACAACTACGTGGTTTACTTTATCTTATTTTACTTCATTTTATTTTTTCGATAAAGTAAAAGATACTTCACTTTACTTTAATTCACTTTACTTTACTTTACTTTATTAAAGTAAAATAAAGTTAAAGTGCCACCCCTATTTATGATAGACCATATCTTGCACTTACAAGAGAAGACGTGAGTGCACGCTTTTCTATTGCTATTCAGCAAACCTTATCGTTCGCCAACATAACATATAAATATGTAATTTTATTTTGAAATATAACTTAAAAACTGTTTAGTTAAATTATTTAGCATATTAATTGTAACGGCTTTCTGAAACAAAGTTTGAGTATAAGACTTTTAGAGATCTGAATCTTAAAGCTTGAAACAATTTGTAAGCTTTCCATTTTAATATATATACCTATAATGTTGATTGATTTTGAGTAAAGTATAATCAGTGAGATGATATTTCTTCTATTATCTCTTTCATATGCTAAATCCCTCTAACTACCCACCATCTATTGTCAATTACCTATATAGATACTCAGAAATTTTCTTTACATTATATTGTTTTTTTCATTATTGGTCAGTCTACACTAATAGATTGGACAATTTAGTATGAGGAAAACTGAATTACTAAAAACTTTCATAATGTTGTGAATTTATAATGAGAATACATTCTAAAACTAGATTACTACTCATCCAAAAATACAGTGTATTTGATTGTAAGTTGAATTATTCTAGAAAGAAAGTAGTTAGAGAGCTGTTATTTTCAGTTCATAACAAAAACAAATCACTGTATTAAATTGTATAAAATTTACTTGATCATGGAATGCTGAGACGATTGCTAAGTGGTCAACAGTTTATTTTTCGAACAATAACATTTCACAAATTTCTATTGCTTTTGTATTTCTTATTCATCAAGATCATATATTAGACAGTTCTCTTTGATTCAAAGCACTTTTCAAAATATTTTTCCTTTCTGTCAAAATACTAGAATTAAAATACGTGCTTCTATTAATGCAACTTAAACAACTACTGATCGATTTAGAATCAAGTCAAACAGACATAATTGAGCATGTTGAGTATTGTGGCAATATTTGTTTTCCTCAGATTTTATTCTTGAGTTGGAAGTGTTTGTCTCATTTATGAATCGAGCTTGGTATATTGTTTTGAATGTATCCTAAAAATTTGAACTCCAATAATATAGAAATGAATTTCACACAAAACTCTCATTCTACTGTTGTCATATCACTGAAATCGATTTTTTTCACAAACAAGTCTTACAAACTCAAGAATAGAACCCGAGGAAAACAAATATTGCCACAATACTTAGCATGCTCAATTTCGTCTGTTTGAAGTAATTCTAAATCGATCAGTAGTCCTATAGACTACATAAATAGGTGCATGTATTGCAATTCTTGTATCTTAGATCATCCTAGAAACTTTTAAAAATCTATCAAAGCATTCTATGAATCTAAAATTTCTACTGTAGATTCTGACTAGTCTAAATATTGTGGGGTGTGAGTGAAGAATAGAAAGACATTCAGATTCTCACATCCACACTGACACCAACATCTACTCACATCCACTACTCATAACATAAACATCTATCGCTAAGAGGATATATTAACTTTAGGGAAAAACCATTGAATCTCAAGTGTACATTTCAGCAAACAGAATGATTCAATCGTAGATATATCACTTTTTATCTAAGGAAACGATCGAATATATGAGACAAGTATGCATTGAATAACAGTCATAGGTATATTTTCTAGATAAAAGAATTCATTTCAAATGACATTATTTATTCATCGATAGCTTCGCCACACTCATTGTTTCATTTACTATCATGAATTTGGTACTGATACATTTCGTCTGAATAATGAAAATAATCAATTGGTATGGATTATAATTGCAAGACTCAATCATCATAAAGTCTCTCAATAAGGACAATAACAGTGGAAAAACTGATGACCAATCCTACTCGTTCCTATATTTTCTTTATAATAATAACATTTTGCTGTATGAGTATTTTCGTCTATATATTTTCATTTTGGCCAACCCATGAAATTCACATAATCAAGTTGTCGCCTATTGTTCGAAATTTATCTTTGATAGAGACCAATACATTGGAAATATTACACTTTCGAATTTTGGATATAGTGCTAAATGGAGATCCTTTTCGTTCTCAATCGATTACATTATATTTAAGTGCTCATCGAAATCATATCACATGGAAAGAATTTATGTGCTATTTTCCCTTGTCTAATATAACAACTTTAGGAGTAATCGATCGTCGATCAAGTGAGCCATTTTTAACATGTTTATTACCAGAAATCGAATTATTAGCAATCAAGAATGGTCGACATTATTTCAATATTTCTCTTATGATAAAACATGAAAATGAAAATAGCAAAACATTTTCTACTAGTACATCGAAACAGATACGTGTTTATCGTAGAAGAGAACATGCTATATCAATCTATACTATGATTCGTAATAAACGAAATGAAATAATCGATTGGATTGAATATCATCGAATGATTGGTATTGAACATTTTTATTTGTACGATCATTTGAGTGAAGATCAGATCGATATATTTCTTAAATATTATCTAGATCAAAATATTGTTACTATTATCAAATGGCCTTTTCGACCAATTGAAAATCAACATTGGAATATGATTCAAAGTGCTTCAATGAATCATGCTTTGAAAAATTTTGGTCCATTCAATAAATGGATGGGTTATTTTGATATTGATGAATATTTTCAATTAAATAGCATAAATGAACAACTTATTCTATCAAAAACTAAATCACTCGATCAATTACTTGATCAATCATTTCCAGAGACAAAATTTCCTGGAGGTGTACAGTTTTATAATTGTCCAATATCATGTTTTCTATCACAAAATGAAATACTTTCAAGTCGTCATTTGAATATTTTTCAAAAATGTAATTCAATTGTGGAACCTCAAGACTGTTCCACACGGACAAAATTATTTATTCGACCTCAAAATGTTCCTCTCATGCAGAATATTCACGCTCTTGAACATGGAATCGTATTTTCGGCTCACAATGGACTTTCGAATTTTGGTCAATTTCGACATTATCATTATGGAATTGTGGGTGCAAAAGGAGATCAACGCGCCAAATTTGACAATTCTATGGATAAATTTATTGTAAATTTAACACAAAGAATATCTTTATTTTATAGAACACATTGTTCTGAGCCTAAAATTCATTAATGTTTTCAAAGTTGTTTTTTTTTTATATAGCAATACTTTGTCATGTTTTATTTTACAGCACTTCCATTGATTGAATAAATGATCAATATGAATAATCATGAATATCAGCAGACATTTCTATTGACAAAAACTCATTTTAACCCTTTCAATACCGACATTTTCTTGCGTTCTGCACGAGCAAGAAAAAAAGATAATTTAATCTTTCTCTCTTGCGTTCGACTGTCATAATCATATGTGTTCGAAATCCAGATTCATTATTCTTAGCCATACGAATTCATTTTCCTTTGAACATGTCATATGATATTCGTCATCTAAGAAGACGACAGAACGCAAAATATTTCTTTTCGTTCTGTATCTCATCTACGAGATGTGATGCGGTAACGAAAGGGTTAATCTTGCATCGAAAATTTCAATTGGAAAATCATTTATTGCGATTAGTTAATAATCACATTTCTAATTGTCAGTCGACAGAAGAGAATATAATTCGTTTAGGATTTTTATAAAATATACTAAAAAATTTCAAATTGAAAATGCTTATCAATTAGTCTTAAGTTTTCTTCAGCAGGTAAGAACTGGTAAAAGGTTTTTATTATGATGCACATCATTGATACTTAAGTAAATACAAAATAAGAGAATGTGGGCGTCGAAGAGATATCGATTATTCATACATACTCACACCCGTAAAAACAATATTAAGTTGTTCTTTATGAAACAATTAAGTCGTTTGCTTTTTACTTTTTTGAAGAATAAGGTGTCAAATATCGCCTCTATCCTAGAAGTATACAAAAAAAACATATCATCACGATTCTGATGCATACCAATGAAAGCGATGAGTAGAACAGCTGTTCGTTTTTGCGTATTTATTCTTCTTAGGTAATTAAAAATCTTTCGTTTTCTAATATTATCCAACATTGAATATTTTATTTTACATATTCAATTAATAATTTAGTTGTTTAGTTGTTCAAGTGAATTCTCAAACATGTGGTGGAATGTCTCAATATGATCAATGTTCGACAAATAGTGCATGTGGATGTTATTATAGAGCAGATTCTGATAATATTGCTATTTGTGGTTCTCTCTGGGTGACTTGTTCTGAACTTGTTTCTTGTGAATCTTTAAATAATACTTGTGATGAACCTAATCATATCTGCATTCATCATCCACGATGTCATAATTTTCCAGTTTGCTATCCGTTATCAATGAGTAGTCCACAAATCTGTCCAGAAATTATAAGTAAGAAAACAAAGAATTCTATCTATTAATTTATGTGAAACTTAAATCTTCATTAAGATTTTTGCTGTATCGAAAAGGATAGGTACATATTCTCTGTGAAAACTAAATCTTTTTTTTTTGACGAGAACAAAAAATAGTTGGTCTCGTTCATAGCTTTAGTTGAGGATTCAATCGAAAATTAGAACATATTGTATCCGTTTAAAAGTAATTGTTTTTTGTTTATGTATATGTTTTCTTTTGATGAATAGTGACGGATACTACAACAGCTTCGAGTACAACCATCACAACAACAGGTAAGTGTTCCTGTTTTTTTTCTCAATTGGGAACTTTAACAGACACAAAAAAAAACTACATCATTTGAATGAAAGGATATCAATGAAAACGATAACGAAAATCGAAAATACATTGGTGTATTGCTGGCATTTGGAAGATTTTTTTCTTTTAAATGAAGAAAAGACGCATATAATACTATTCCATATGATTATTGTTTGTCGCAAAAATTTCTGACCATTGTATGTCTAATCTATTAGTATAATGAATGAATTACCTATTTGCAGAAAGGCATAACAAATATTTAGATTTCAGAAAAAAAAGATTTTCTGTTGCAATTACAAGAGTTTTTAGTTAAAATGTTATATTGGACATCGTAATAGCAAAGAACTAGATGGTATTCGAGTTTCGACTCGAATACGAAATGCCCTGCGAAGCACGAATCATACGAATTTTCGAAAAAACGATATTTGTCAAAAAACGAGACTTCGATTTTCTAAACTATATTGATCGCTATTTTGACTTAAATTCGTTACTGACTCTTTTAGATAGACACTCTTCTTCATCTTCATCAAACAGATGATCTCATCTGGACTCAGAATGAAAGCCGTCCATTATAAAATTCATCACTACAGAAACTCTATGAAAACGTATCGATAGATTTCTATGAGTTGTTTCCTATTGATCAATTAATTATCTCAGTGATTCATTATCTACTATCAGCTGTAATTCGCAGCTGTTTGATATATAGCTAATGAAATTAGCGCCTAACTTTTCTTTTGAATTTTCATTTTAATTATCTCGAATATAAAATCTTTCAAAATCGTCTTTTTCCTAAATTATTTGTAATTCAACGATTCATTCTAGTGAAAACTGGAAAACGAATTTCAACGATTTGATCTTGATACTTTCATCTCGCGTTTAAACTTTTTTTTTCTGTTTTTCCGTTCTCGAGATCATCGCGACACAAAATGACTACTTTTGATGCGTACGTCAAGTAAAGAAGAAAAAAACTAGATGGTATTCGAGTTTCGACTCGAATACGAAATGCGG